CTAAAAAAGAATCTTCTAGAATAACCCCTTTCCATAAACCAGTTTCTGCCTTTAAAGGAAAGCACTGGCCTCAAAAGAAGGCTGACCCTTTGTGAATTGATTCAAAGTCGTCTGGCACAGTGAGTGTGAAACTGTGCCGTTTCAAGCTGCAGCCACAGAGCCACCCTGCATTCATATTAAGCCACTATGCCAGAGATGCTCCCAGCTTGGATTTCTAAGATAGACCACTGTGCATCAATAATGGTGCTTACATAATTTGGCCAGCATTAATATTCTGAATGTGTTCAACCTTGTATTTTAAACGAGCATAAAAATGCACATCCACCCCCGTGCTTGCAAATATTTCACAATTTGATTTACATACCCACAATATTTTATTTTCATTTTTAAATTGAGATGTATTTTGTAATCTTGTTGAAGCTTCTGTGGTAAATGACTATAAAGTGCTCCCCCTCTTCTCCAAAAATATGCTGCAAGGCTGTGTGCCAAAATCACAGATCATGGCTTCTTAGTCACATTGTAAGAAGAGGACTGCTCTTTTGTTGTATTTCCATAGTCAATCGTGGTATTCGTCTTTCTGAATGTTTTTACTGGGGAAATGTGGTCACATCCAGAATCTTGATATATAGGTTACATGTTCAAAGCCCTTTAAGCAACTCCCAATTTGTTCACTATGGGCATCCACACAGTACTCTTTTTCTATTAATTTATCTTCATTTGTAACCTGGCAAAGATTATTTGCATTTGGTATATTGTAGAAAGAGAACAGTTTTAATTATCCTTCCTTTGCATCAGTCAGAGCTGTTCAAGTTTGGTCTTTGGAGCAAATTGCAATATATGTTGCTAACAATCTGGCATAGCTTGGTCATGAGATTGATGTCAGAAGGTCTATTTCTTCAAATTGGAATTTTGTGGTTTGATTCTGTTAAAATGCTGAACTTGATGGTTTCTTCTGATATTCTTTAAACTAATTTAAAAAAATATTGTTCTTTTTAATATTTTTTTTTGATGGAAGACGAGTTAAATTATCTTTTGCACAAAATAAGCACACCAATATCTGTCTGACTCACCAGGTAGTATGCAGTGAAGACACAACAGGCACTCTCACTGGCATACATTTTTTAAAACTGGTATTATAGGTTTATTAGGAACAAGTAATAGGTTTATTCCATGGTGAAGAAAAGAAGAAAGAGAACACATCATTTTGGCCGTGGAGCCTTCTTCAGGTGTGAGCACCTGAAGAAGGCTCCACGGCCGAAACGTTGTCTTCTTTTTCTTCTTTTTTTCAGCATGGAATAAACCTATTACTTGTTCCTTTGCAGCCTACGCATGCTGACGCAGCTACCCACCTGAACTTATAGGTTTATTGCTATATATCTCAGTTATCACGTTTTATCCATATGGCTTATCATGGATCCATTCTGGAAGTCCAAACCAGCCGACATTGATGTCTGTTTTTTGGATTGCAATAGTATAGTGACCAAACCTTTAATAAACCATTACTAAGAGATATTTGGCTTCTCGACATCATTGTACTCAGGGAAGTATGACAAAGCATGATAAAAGCAACAGTAAAATGTGTTCCTTTACAGCATAAGGAAAGCAAAAGTTTGTGGAAAAAAAAATAGAAAACACCTGGGTAAAAGAGTGACATGTCCATTAATTAATTATGGTTATGCAGAAAAATGCTAGACAAGCATGGAAGCCTACAATTATGGCTGTCATGGCTGCAGACTTAAGTGATTTTGAAAAACGATTCATCTGGGGGGCTCATTTGGCGGGAGCTTTAAGTATGTAAAACAGCTTAACAATGCATGGTAGCACGTACTTCAGGATCGTAATATCCATTCATTAAGTTGAAACGTAAGGCAAAATTGGCATACCACTAGAGATCAAATGGATACAAACGTCAGCCTGTTGTGCCCAGCACCCTATTAAGTTACTTTACATTGGTATTTCCATTTTCTTGTCCACTACCTCAATGTTTAAGAGATATGACAACAGCTTTTGTGAGGAGTTTAAAAAATGTTTGATAAAAAATATTTTATTGTGCTCAACATCATTATACTTTATTTTAAAAAGCAGCTTAGTCAGTGTCAAAGTTAATTGTGTACAGTGTATGTGTTGGCCCTATTAATCTCATCTCTAATATATTCACCTTTAGCGTGTGGTAGTAATTTGTTTTGATACTGTATTTGAAGTTTTATTTTATATTTTACTGTACTCTGGCTCCAAGCCCTCCAGTTATGTGTCTGTTGGGAGCACTTAGAGAATGTCTCAAAGACAAACTTGATTTGGTTTAAGATGAATGCATGTTCTGTAGGCAGAGCTCTTACTAGCTAAAATATTTATTTTTGAAAACTTTTTTCCATACCTGCACATCTCTAGAGATACAGGATGAACCGCAGTGTGGTACATAAACACTCCTATGCTGAATTATGTAGATGGCTTGTGACATCCTTGCTGAATTCCAAATCAGTCCGTTTCTACTGATTAGTTGTGTAATTCAGAGTATGTTCATGAATTTGTATATATCTGAGAGAGAGCCTAATCTTAGGGTGAATTTTCTTACCCTAGCATCATCATTTAAAGGCTTCAGATTATACACTGAGAGGAGCATGCATCGCATGATCTCAGTATTCAAATTTATGCTTAACTCTTAACTTTAAAGTAAGTAAATGTGTGCTAAGAACTAAATAACCCAAAATGGCTGAGTTTTCTAGCATAGTAACTCAGCCATTTAGTAACATAGTATCCACGAACCAGGCACATTGTGAAAAAAGAAAAGCGGTGTGACTTTAAAGAGAAGGGGCAACCATTTTCTCACAAAATGCAATGTGAGATGGAAGAACTGTCTTACTCTATTCCATATTCCATATTCCATATTCCAACAGTCAAGATCCCATTTGTCTGGTGTAATGTCATAAATAAATAAATAATAAATAACACTTACACTTATATAATGCTTTTCTGAACACTGCACTCAAAGCACTTAAGTCACAACCCATTATTGAAGCCATACCCGAACAGAAAAATCTAAGAAGGCAACGAAAGCTTGCTTCAATGTACAGAATGTAACAGAAGAGTGATCATTTTACAATCAACAGTATGTTTGTTTGTAATACATTTATCTAAACAACTGTATTAAAGTTATATTATACATAACTTATGTGTTATATTATATATAACATATTACATATATGTGAATGTATGTGTTGTGTGTTGCACAGAAGAAAACTTTGCCTAAAGGGGTACGAAAATAAAACAAGTACCACACAGTATTTTTTAATGTAGGGAGACAACTTGTAATTTAGTTGTGTAGTCTTCATAACTGTGCATGTGAGTCTCAACGTGATGTTCAGAATCATTCTTTTCTAATTTAGATGGCAGGCAATGGTGGTGAAGGTTGAAAACGTGTGAAGTTACCACTGGTGCTAGGGATAGGAATGTGTTTAAGACCTTGACTGTTCTGGAAGGTGGCTGAAGTAATTCCTGATCTTATCGTAGTCTATATATTTTTTTAATCCATTAGTATCACCGCAAATATTTTAAGAAAAAAACACGTCTTTAGTTAAACGGGGCTGCTTCTTCAATGTGAATGAATGCTTAGTTGTGCTGCTTCTACTAATGGGAATTGTCTATTACTATTACCAATATTACTGTAGTTCCTCTTTCTAAAACGTCACACAGCCGCACATTTCCTGAAAAGTACCACCAAATCACCATAACAAAATAGGTTTAGACTTGTTCTTGTAAATGCCACCAATGGCTTTGCTCATTAAATGCAGGAATTGTTTCCTGCAAATTATATCCTACTTTTTAAATAGGAGCAGATGCTAGGGAGAACTCAAGAGTCCTGAAGATGAATTGTTGGCTGCCATCCTGAAATTTCAACAGCTTTGACTCAAACACCTCCACATATTCTTTGACTAAACACATGGTGCATTGCTAGTCAGTCATTTCCCTAGAAAGATCATTTTCAAGCATCTCATTATGGCATTGAAATGTGTTACAGCCATAATAAATTGATATGATCTATAGAAAATATGTTTCAATACCTGGTAATAATGATCATGAGATAGGCCCTCATAGCAAAGCACTTACTCTCACAATCATACACCTGTTTCTAAATGTATTCATTATTTTCAGACAAAGCCTGTAGCATTTCTTGATGCTGTATACAACTGTAATGGAAATCTTAACTAATTTTACTTTCTTAACCGGTTTAACTAGACAAATTGCATTTACAGTATTTTGTAACAGATTTAAAAGAAATCAGGAAAAAATATGAATACCCCAGGCAAACAATTTTAACATTTGTGAATCCTTTGAACTATAACATCCATCTTCATTCTTTATTCAAAAGCTAGTGTTTATGTCTTGGGCAATAAATAAAATATTTGCTGCACAAATAAAGATTAATTCTATCCTTTATGTGTTCGGCAATTTAAAGCTTTAAAGAATCTTTCCTTTGCAATTCTTATTTCTGCTTTAACCCAAACAAAAGCCATGTACAGCATACCTACATGCAAAGCATGTGGCCTCCAAGTCCATCACCAAGGAAAGGCACGCATGTCTTTAAAGTGGAAACGGTGTGTCTTAACACGTCTCATAAATTTTGAGGCCTGATTGTATGTAGATGGCCTCCCTGGAGACAGCGAAAATCCCTGTTCCATTTTTTATTATTCTGATGTTACCAAAATATCGCATCTGGGAAGAGTGGGAGAAAACAGGGCAGTTTCTTTCTCTCATAATTTCCTTAAGCTGGATATTTATTGCAATATTTATGAATACCTTTCACATGAGAGTAAAATAAAGTCAGATCTGTATTTCACGCCCACAGATGCAGGAACTGGTCCTTAACGTTTAGCTTCCTTCAGGTCAAGAAAATATGGCTGACTGACATTTGTTACGCATCTCCGCATTTTTGTTTGTCAGAACAAGCTAGGACTATGTTGTTGTAGGGGTATAAATTGTGTTTGTCGCTCTTTTTTTTCTAGATCCGGTGGATTCCCATTTTAACAGACTTTCAGAAAAAGGACACGCTTTGGGGCTTTGTTCCGCCTAAAACAGAATCTCAGTTTAACCTTTACAACCCTATTACCTTGCACCTCGGGGACTACAACATGGATGGTTTTCCAGACGCACTGGCAATACTGAAGAACACAACTGGGAGGTGAGTGCGCTGTTACAGCCCACTTATATCAGCAGCTGCCCTGTAGCTAGTAAAGTTGCACTGGTAATTGGAAAAGATTTAAGATAATGAGGTAAAAAGAATCTAATTAAAGTAATAGCTGGAGGCATACAGAGTTTGTAGTTGTCTTTTGCAAATGTGGAATCTGTTTTTAAAATCATGCAACTTTTTATGAATGGCCTTGGGTAGGCTGTAAAAAATACTTACACCTATCTTACTGCTACTCAAGACTACATGGTAGGAATTAATAAATGTATCTGAAGAGAAGGGTATTAAGGAAGTCTTATATAGCTAAGGAAAGTTTAATCACTGAGGTGCCAGAAGCTTAACTCTACTGTTTTCTTTGGTCAGTTTAATCAGACACGTGGCTATGTGCTTCCTCTGTTGATTTAATCATGTAATTCTTATCCTCCACAAGCTCTTTTTAATCACTTGTCTGAGTGGATGTACGAAAGCAAGAGTAATGGTAGTATGTGACTGAGTGGAGCACGAGATGAGCACATGCATTGAAGCGCACAGTTCTGAAAACAAAGCCTGTGGCAGAGTATTTTCAGGCTCTCAAATGCATATTGTATTCTTCATATGGTTGAATACTCCAGTGCATGGTGATGAATGAAGACAGAGTGAAGAACTTATGAGAAGATCTAGTATGTGAGGAGTATTTATAGTGCTTATTGCCAAATAAAGACAAAATAAAAAGAACTCAAAAATAATTTATTATTAATAGTAGTAGTATTACACGTCTGATCTGTCAGATTATACAGTCTCCAAAAAGTATCCAGACACTTACCCACAGTTTCCTCTTTTTGTTTGTTTAATCCTTGCCGCTATGACACTTTGGAATATCAATTTCATAAACACTCAGCTTGTACTGAATCATGTCGTTATATGTGCACCCTTCTCTGCACATTCAAATAAAAACCCTTTGCTGTGGAAAACCTAAATTAATTTAAGTGCACAAGAATACCTTAATAAGCTACACATTTAGTTAAGCATGCACTGTCTGTGTGCAATAATAATGGTTCTTTAATAATTTCTAAATAAAAACATGTCTCTCTGAGGCTTCTTGGTCAGATATTAAATTTAAAGCTAAGATCAATATTGAAAAACACAGTTCAGAGGGGCACAAGAAATCCCTGTGAGCACAGCCTGTCCAATCATAAAGAAATGGAAGGTACATCATAGTACCCCAACAGTGCCTAGATCAGGCAAAATTGAAAAAACTGGTGTCACTGTGAGGCCCATGACAGTTTTGAAAGATATACAGGGTTCAGTGAAATGGGAAAAAATGTGTATCAGTCAACCAGTTCCTACACAAGCCTGGCTTATATAGCACAGTGGAAAACCCATGTCATATGCATGATGGTAGAAGTATTAACCTACAGAGATGCTTCTGCTCAGCAGGGACTAGAAAAACTGTTCAGACTCGAGGAAAAATGGATGGAGCAAAGTACAGGCAAGTCTTAAAATTCCTGTTTCAGTCTACATAAGACTTGTTGAAAACCATGTTGAAAACTCAACTTTGAGCAGGTCAGTGATCCAAAGCAGCTTTACTCTGGAGTAGGTTAAGAATAAGAAAGTGAATAGCCTTCAGTGGCCCAAAGTCTTGACTTTGAATCTGTCTTGATTCCTATTGAGAATCTGTGGAGGGACTTAAAAAATAATTTCCATAAGGGTCCCAAGCAACTTGAGAGAGCTTGGACAAATCTGCATGGAAGAATGGGAAAAATTGCAAAAATTGCAAAGTTAATAGACTTACCAGACAAGACCTGTGGCTGTTTTTGCTGCCAGAGGTGCTTCCACCATATTTTGAGTTAATAGGTCTAAATATTTTATACAGCATATATCTGTCACAGCCCACTTTATTTAAAGCCGATATTTACTGTAATGTGTCTTACATTTATACAATAAGTCTTCAGTTTGAGAATTCAGATTTGAATAAAATTCTAAGTTTAAAACATCGTTTTTGTAATTTCAAAATGGGGCACCATTGAAAGTGTTTGAATACTTTTGCAAGTCACTATGTTCTTATTTAAGGGCTTACAAAATACAGTATTAGTAATCATAATGTCTCATCGATAAATGTTGTTCCTTTGCTCACTAAAAGTATTATCTCAAGCTTGTGTCATTCATTCAAAACCAAATACTGGAGCACTTTGTAGTTTAGGTTTTCTGGGTGATGATTACACTTTAGTTCTCTCTCTTTTGTTCCTTAATAAAAATAATGATAATTGAAAAATAGTATTGGAAGTCAATTTAGTTTCAAAATACAATTTTCCTTTTTTTTAAGTATGGGCTATTACTGCAGTATTTTGAAAGGGTGCTTCAAAGCTGCTGTTTCTGTCCATTCTGTACTGGGAAAAGTGACAGCAGCCTAAATTAAAACATGTAATTAAGTTTTAAATGTATTAATATCATAAGAGCCAGCATGGAGGTTTTCAAGCTTGCATTTTCTTGTCATCAAAGCCATTGACAACCAGGAAATGTTATCTTTTTTAACAGCTTCAGAGATTAGGGGATTCATTTTAGGTGGTTTTTTTTTTGTTGTTTTCTTGTTGTCTTTTATAGTATTTTCAGAATAATATCATTAAATAATGGGAACTATATGCCCTTATTTATTTTCTGAATTTTAAGCATCTTTCCTACTTCATGCTTTGTAGTCTGCAAAACAGTGTTGCTAGCAGAAACCTTCTGATTTAATTCTACTGGGCTTCCCACTTTTATTTAGTGTCTGCTTGCATCTTGAGTGTCATATTGGCACTTGATTGTTTAATCTTGATTTATTTAATCTCCCAATTGGGAGAGTTTGCCTCATACTGTGATTTATGAAAGAGAAAGGAACTGAAATACATTTAATTACCAAATAAACCTAATTTGATTTCAGTTTTCACACAGGATGTTTAGAGACCTTTCCCATTATTAAATGAAGAGTTATTATGCCACCATAGCTGTGCTTTGTACAGTAATTGCTGTTTCCATGTTTGTAATCTTCCTCCCTATTCTTTTTCTGATTATTATTTTCTTCTTCTCCATTCGATTAATTACTCTCAATTAACCCCCTGTTCTATTTATGTATACAACCTTTTGACTTCAATGGTGCTGTGCAATGAAAATCTTTAGTAACGTAACAGTCACAGGAAAGAGTCAATTCTTGGGAAGAAATTTAGAGGAATGTTTTGTTTTTCTCCACGTAAAAGTTTTATTTTCTGGGGGAAAAAAATTGAGAATCCAGATCCACCCCACTTGTGCCAGATGCCCAGCTGACATCACATCTGACCTCCATCCTTTGCCTTGTGGGTGGTGAGACCACACAATGGCTCCATGTCACCATTTTGGGCAAAGCCAGTGACTACCACCCTCCAGGCCTGGTCCAGGTGTGGATTGAAGTGTCCCTGATCCGGGCAGGGTTCTCTGCCATCATGGAATGCTGCCAATGTAACCATCATGGGAATATGTTTGGATCAGTGTTTATCTATCCACTCAACAAAGACCAATTTGCCAAGGATAACATTACCGGGAGCACAAAGCTCCTGACAGCATAGCTCTAAAACTCTTTCTGGCACTCAACCCCCTCCATTGTGACAAGGTCACGATCCCAGGAGGTTTCTCTGTAGGGCTGCTGGACCTACACTGTGTGACAGGGTGAGGAGCTTGGCCAACCATTAGGACCCTGGAATAGAGTCACTGCTTGAGAAGATCCAATTGAGGTGGCTTGGGCAACTGGTAAGGATGCCTTCATGCCTGCCACTGTAGGTGTACCAGGCAGTGGCCCACTGGGATGAGACTCTGGGACGAATCCAGGACACACTAGAGGGATTATATCTCTTGGCTGACCTGGGAGCACCTGGGAGTCCCTCAGAAGTAGCTGCTAGACTGCTGCTGGGGGAAAGAAAGTCTGGTCTGCTCTGCTCAGTTTGTTACCACCATGACCCTAACCGGGAGTAAGTGGTTAGAAAATTAGATGAGATTAGAAAATTTGTGACGATGGAAAGTTGATTGTTTTTAGCTGGGTCTCAGAATACCAAAAATCTGGTTCCAAAAACCACTAGCAGGAAAGTAGTCTAAGATGGAACCTGAGGTTTTTACAATGCAGGGTTGTCAAATTCCGAGCAAATTACCTCTGAAGAAAGACTGTTGTCAAGATAAATTATATTTCCTAAGAGGTTCCTAGAAAACTAGTAAGTTTTATTACTCATTTCTAGGCTCCAAATATCACATATTGCTGTTGCTATCTGCCTTTGCTTAGAGCTTATCGTGGATTCCTCAGTACCTGTAAATGAATGCCACTTTCAAGCACATGACTCAACATTTCACTTATTTGTAGAGTGCACAGTTGTGAAAATCACACATTGTAGCTGTCAAGTAATATTTACGTCTCAGAGTCAAACAGAGATTGAATCTAACAGTTATATGTTTAAAGGCAAGCACGTTATTATGACATTTCATCATGTTGGAATGGAATAGAACCTAAATAACAAATGTATTGTATTGAAGAAGTGTTATGAGGCATTATGATCAGTTGCAGTGCTTTGTGACTGCTTTCCTTTTCCCCTCATGCTCTTTCAAATGTATAACAGGTTGTAGTTTCTCAACAGTATTTCTTCAGGGATACAGAAGTTGAGATAAAAATATAGTGATCAGCAGTGGATGTATATAGAAGGCAGCTTCTGGCTTGTTATAAGCCTGTGTTGGAAAAATGTCAAAATTATATCATAATTGTACCTCAGTATGGCACAGCAACAATGGAACAGGGAATTCTGTGCTGGACACAGAGATGGCACAGATCAAAAGATACTTTTTTGATATTATACCAGTCTTAAGTGTGAATGTTGGAGACTTACATGCAGTTAAAGTGTTTAATGCAAAAAAAAAAGAATGAGCTCCTTTTGTTATTCTCCAAAATGTATTTCAATTATTTGATTTAATTATGTGTACTTGCCTCTTCCTAAGTGTGTGTAGCACATTATTATGTTGTAAGGTGC